TCTTCCAGCTCTAAATCTCTGTATCTTGTTTTCTATAACTAAAATTTCAAGTTGAATTTAAGAAATCTTGTACACTGAAGTCTGAACACATTTTACAGTTTCTTGGCTTAGGCCAGCCACCTGTTTCCATTTGCTTATACTCCTATAAAATTTAAGTAAATTTTCTTAAAAGAAAATTCCACCAAATTCTTTTTAATGTATTTTGTATGGAATCTAGTATTTGTGGGGGCCCAGAAAATATGAAACAGTCTTTTAATAGTAATATAAAATAACAAATTAGATGGCAGCCCTCAATTTTTCATCTTTTGGGAATTTTGATGTCTCAGTGATACTAGCCTTCTAGCAAAAGCAAAGTATTTTTTTTCTTTCCCCCCTCCCCTTTCTTCAAAGCAACATGTCCTGATCAGTGCTCATTCAGCTAAGGTCCCTGTTGGGATTTGGACATCTACTGATTATAGTCTATTTCCCAAAGGGGTTGCCTTCATAGATCACACCCCTTTCATTATTCACTCATAAAAACAAGACCAAACTTCTAAAGAGCTTCCTGAAACAAAGCACTGTGTTGACATGTCTCCTTTGAAAATCTCCTAAGAGATTTCTGATTGAGTTTCAATATTGTCCTTCTCATGACAAGTCCAATGAGGGCCTTGTTGGGAGGATGGAAAAGGAGAGATATCTGGAGTACAGTCCTTATCTCTAGTTATCTCCTTAAGCCAAATTTTTTTTTTCCCCAAAAAAATTACTCCTGAGAATCTGGAATGAATGAAAATATTTAGTGAGTCCTTATTGCTGCTGTTCAGTGTATTTGTATACTCAAATACAAAAGGAAACATAAGCCTTGCTCTCAAAGAACTTATATTCTAATTGGAGAAAGGCATGCATATACATTAGTATCGTCTATGGAAAGAACAGTGGATGGAGCACTAGGCCTGAAGTAAAAAAGACCAGAATGCAAATCCCATACTTACTACCTGTATGATGCTGGGCAAATCACTTTGTTTCTATCTGCCTTACTTTCCTCATCTGTAAAATGGGGATAATACTGACACCTACCTCCCAGGGTTGTTGTGAGAATTACTTAAAATAATATTTGCAAACTGTTTTGTAAATCTTAAAATGTTATAGAAATACTATTTATCATCACTATCACTGTCATCATCATCATCATCATCATCATCATCATTATAATTACTAAATGTCTCAGGGAAGGTGAAGGGCCCATATAGCAATAGGTTGGCTGAACTTTTCCAGGAACAATGGTAGAGTTAATTTGATCCTTGTTTCAGAGTGGGAAAGGGAGAAGCATTAGAGTTGCATTAGAAAAGCTCTGTCTAGGCTTTCCCAAGGTGGCTGGTATGTGGGAAGACAAATAATACCTGACCTTTAATTAAAGCATGACTAGGTCCAGCCCGCAGTCAAGAAAAATTGAGAGAAATTGAATAAAACACATGGGGTAGATTCTAAGGTATAACACTACACTTAAAATCATGGCAGAATTTAGAGTTCATTTATATTTTAATTTCCAGCCTTAATTTCCCTATGCTTCATTCTTTGATTTCTTGGTCCTCCTGGTTTCAGATGCTCAATTCTGCTATGGCCAAGCCAACATGTGCATGTAGACACATGTGTCCACAGAGATATCAAAATGGTTCTAGATTCAAATCATTCGGCAAAGAAGCATTCATTAAGCACTTACTAAGAATTAAGTGCTGGGAATACAAAGAAAAGCCAAAGAGTCCCTGTTCTTAAAGAGCTTACAATCTCATAGGAGATAAAACTAGCAAACAATTATGTACAAACAAGATTTATCCAGGATAAATAGGAAAAAATAAGCGCGAAGATGTTAGAATTAAGAGAGATTGGGAAAGGCTTTCTCTAGAAGGCGCGGTTTTAGTTGATACTTAAAGGACACCAGAAGGCAGAAATGAGGAGGGAGAACAATAGAACCCAGTGGAAGGGTGTGTCCTGACAAAGGACTCTAATAGCATATGGGTGATGCTGCTGCTGCTTCTGCTGCTGCTGGTGGTCTTTAATTCATGGATACACACTGAATCAAAGTCTTGGTTTCCTCTTCTATAAAATGAAAGAATTCAAGTGGGTTCCCTCTGAAAAGAGACTCTTTGGATCTTTCTAATTGTCAGGCAGGCTTTCCATCGAGTCCACATCTTCCATTTCAGGTTCTACACATTTTACCAGTTCTATCCTATAAAGTTATGCCTAACAAGTCTAACCTCTCATTCACATTTTAACTAGATTTGTGATTTCATTGGTCTAGATCTTCCTTTAATGATACCTAATGTTAGCTTCTCTGCAACTTAAACTTAAAGAGTTGTGTAAAGGACTGAGCAATTCATTGACTTGCCCAGGGTAACAAAGCCAGGATGTATTCAAGCCTTTACTTGCAGCCAGGAGTCTATCTTACTCTGAGGCTAGCTCTCTACATCCTGTTGCTTACCCATGAAGGCCACGAACATTCTTCCAAGTTGTCTCCTCTAAATCTTCTCAAGGCTAACTATCACTAGTTCTTTCAAACCTCTACTCTTATTCTCTGATCTCCCTCCCACTACTCCACATAAACCAAATTTAGCATCTCCCTTCCTACAATATGGCCATTGCTGAACACAACATTCTAAATGGAGTTGGAACAGCACACTGAATGTTGGAGGAGGGGGGATTGTCATTCATTGTTCTGGACACTTGCTACTTTTTTATAGCCAAACATTACTTTGGGGTGTTTGAGGTAATTTCTGACACCTTTAAATTAGGTTGAAAAAAAGAACAAAGTAAAAAGTGCACTGCAGAGAACAAAAGAAAACTAATAAGAAAGCAAAGAAAAGATGGACAGCTCTCAACACAATGCATAATATTTATTATATAGGCTTTCTTAAAAGAGAAATTTATTGCTATATATTTTGAAACTTCTCTTACGTTCTACTGTGCTCATGACATGTTTTTTTTCTTTTCCTATTTTATATATGAGTTTCAATATTTAAGAATATAAAATGTTTATTTTTCTTTTATTCTTGTATATTTAAATTTCAGTAAAACATGAAAGAAAATAAAGAGTTAAGGACCAGTATAAATAAGTGTTCATACACACACACACACACACACACACACACACACACACACACACACACTCACTTTCCTATCCAGACTACACTGGAAGCAGGATCTGAGAAAGTCAATATTTTCCTAAAAACAAAAGGGAACGTCTTGGGTTGTTTAGTGCTCTCCTGTATCCTGGGAGAATGTTTTTTCCCTGAATAAAGGAAAAAGAAATCAGGTCTGTTTTCCTCCCCTGTATTCTGTCTTTTACTGGGTTTACTGTGAAATCAAGGAATTGGAAAGAGCGTATAAACTCCTTGAGGGATGATATTGTTTCATTTTGTTTCCTTAGAACAATTTCCTGCTTAATGATTTTTTTTTTGTTGGGCAGCTAGATGGCATAGTGAATAGAGTGCCAAGCCGGAGGTCAGAAAGACTTATTTTCCTGAATTCAAATCCAGCCTCAAACACTTTATAGTTGTATGACCCAGAGCAAATCATTTTACCCTGTTTGCCTCAGTTTCCTCATCTGTAAAATCAGCTGGAGAAAGAAATAGAAAACCCCTCCAGTATCTTTGCCAAGAAAACCCCAAATAGGCTCATGAAGAGTCAGACATGAGTGAAATGACTGAGCAACAGCGACAAAATAAAGGCATCCCTTACCTCTTTTAAAATGTGATATAGAGATTTTGTTATTGATGGTTACCATAGATTCATAACAATTAATTGATTATATAAGAGTAGTGATCCACCATTTATGTCATTTTCTGAAACTTAGTGAAGGCTTCCTCCTCCCTCGTGGGATCTTTCCAGCATCAGTTTCTAACCTATACTGTTTAAATACAATTTTTTTTCCTGAGAAAAGAAAAGGCTAAAGATCTGAGTTCAAATTCTGATACAGCTACTTACCCCTGCTGGACTTTGGGCAAATCACTTCTCCCTGTGCCCCAAGTTTCTCATTCACAAAATAAGAGGGCTGAACTGGTCAATCTTGAAGTCCCTTGAATTTCTAATCTTAGAATCCTATGAATCCTGATTAGTTTGTCATTTCCTTAGCAAAGGATAGTGAAGAGATAAAATCCAAAGCAGTACATTTATGAGATGGAGACACAAAGTTTATGAGCCTTTTTGTAATTGATTCAAGAATTGTAGAGTCAAGTCTTAATAAAGTGACCAGTCATTAAATCCAAGAGTCATGAGAAACTATTTATGTCATCTAATCTATACCTTTCATTTTGAGAGGCAGCATGTCATACTGGATAGTATGCCTAATATGGCCTCAGGAAGACTTTATACTTGGGTCTAAGGCAGGTGTCCTGTTTTAAGCATTTATTGGCTGTGTGACCTTGGGCAAGTTATTTATCCCTCCTGGCCTCACCTTCTTCATCTGTATGATACAGAATATTTATACCCCAGGGATTTTGTTTTTCTTTTTAGGGATCAAATATGATGATGTACATAAAGAGCTTGCAATCCTTAGAAACATATGAATGTAAGCTGTTGTTATTTTATAGTATGAAGCACTGGAAGCTTTCTGAAGATTGTGATTGCAAAAAGAAAAAGAAGGAAAGGCAATGGAGTGTCTATCTATATATCTATACTTGTACATGTACAGAGCATCCCTTTTATATCTGTCTGTATCTCTGCCTAGGTCTACATCATCTGTCAGAGTCAATATTGACAGAGATATGGGTAGACAAATATGATAAAGATGCATACGGTATAGATATTGCTCCATTTCAAACACCTTACAATTTAGATTCCAATTCAGACTGGCCTTCTGCCCAGTATATTCTAACTTAGGTTTTAGTGCATTTTAAAATGGGGCAAAGTACATCAAAGAGTTATCTTGTTCACTTGTAAAGAAAGAAGAATTTTATAACTGAGATTTTCAATTTTTTTTTCTTTTCATGTTGTAAATGGTAATTTAACAGCATGCAATTATATTCCAGGGGTTACCAGCAAGCCATGTGCGGTACCGAGTGGAGGACAAACAATATCCTTACCCAGCGAGCATATTTGACATAGAAGAATATTCAGGACGTGTTGTTACTCGAGTGAATCTCAATGAAGAACCCAGTACAATATTTAAGGTAGATGAAAGTTTGCTTACGGATTGGCGGTGTTCTCATTTTTTGTTTTGTTTTGTTTTGTTTTGTTTTTTCTCTTGCATGCCAAGCTCTTTTATGGAGACTTTGGAAATGATATCAATGTTTCAAATTCTGTTGATGATATTGTGAATATTTGGTTATCAATCAATCAATAAGAATTTATCAGGTACCTACTTTGTACCAGGCACTATGCTAAGTGCTAAGGATCCAAAAAGAGGAAAAAAGATATATAGATACATAGCTAGATAAATATACACACACATATATACATATATATATACGCACACATACACATATATACATACTTATATACACATATATATACATACATACACACACATATATATGTATATATATATATGTATATATATATATACACACAACATATATATGTATATATATGTATATGTATATATATATGTATATATATATATATATATATATATATATATATATATATATATATACACGTATGAATCTGTGTATGTATATTTCCAAAGTAAGCTCAGTAAGCGCTATGACTTTATAATTTGGAGCTCTTTTTATCTAGTCCCATCTAATTTCACATTTTTTTAATCCATATTTTCAGGTGTCTGTCAGTAGTTATTTCTCTGCTTAAAATATGTAGATATCTCCAAATACATTGTGGTTTTAAATGAAGTTTAGGGTGTTTTAAAATTATTTTTTGCTACGTCAGAGGTTGAAATTCTAGAGTGTTCTTCTAGATAAAGACTGAGTTCTTTCATTTGTCACATGATGATTCCCCCAAGCTATATCTTTTCACAGAGTCATGAATAGAGAAGAGCATCAGGGGATTTGCCTCATGGTTTCAACCTTGAAGAGGTGAAAAATAAAAGGACACATGTACTCTTCAGCAGTCCTAGTTACTACCTAGGAGCTTAGCAGATAATTAGAAAGTATAATTAATCAAAATAGGAAACTACTGAATTGAGGGCACTATTAATAACAGTGATATATAAGCATTTATCATAATATCGTTCCTCCTACAAAGCAAAGTGTCTCAATTCCCACAAGAGGCTTCATGGCTTAGCGGAGTAGAGTAACTTTGGAGTCAGTAATAACTGAGTTCCACTATATATCTGATTCAGAATAGCAAAGCTATATGACCTCAGGTAGGAGTCTACACTGCTCAGTGTCCCAAGCAATTCTCTAAGACTATATTTTCAGTCATTTGGCCATGTGATATGTATTAGGGACACTGGGAGTACATGACATTGAGGAAAACACCAATCTAGAGTACTCACATGCATGTATGCATGCACACTTATGTACCTATATACACACAATCTACACATATATACATATGCATTTATAATCACATTATGAATTAAAAAGTAGATTTAAGGATACATTTTGTACTTTTTTGCCTTAGGCACCAAAGCTGCTAGTTATGATTTTGTCTATTCTAGAAATGAGATATGTGGTTTTTTTAATAAATTGTTATCATTTATGTAACTAAAAACATGACATGGGTTGATAATGAGGTGAGCATGAGGTAAAAGCAATTGGCCAACTGCATGCTTTACTGTCATGATCATGATATCAAAATAACTTAAGTGATATTAGTATCCCCCTCACCAGACCCACTAGGGGAATCCTCTAAGGGAAAGTAGGAAAGAGCCTGGTCAAGAGTGGCATAGGATTTATAGGCATGGATGGCTTAGGATCAGCATCCTTAGAGAGAATATTCACATTGACAACATCACAAATCCTTTGGAGCATTAGACTAATTTCCAATGTTAGATAAGTTTTATTTAAATATTTTTTCAGAAGTTTTGTTTTGGGGGATTGTTTTTATCAAAAAGAGAAATGTCCATTAGGAAGAGAATCACACCAACAATATTTAATAGTATCCTAATATCACGTAAGTGTCCAAATTTCCAGGGTTTTCTTCTGTTTTCATCATGTTCACTATTTCTATATAGTTCTCTACACATTTTATTTACTGTTCATTTGTCTATCTATTTATTTACACTGGCAGAATTGGCAATGAATCTGTAAAGGTTTCCTAACATTATTTTCCAAATCTTTTAATTTAAAATAATTCTGCAAAAAATAAAATAAATAAAATAAAAGGGTTTTTTTTACCTTTTTTAACCCATTATGTGGCCATGATGAAAAAGCATCTTCTGTTCCAACCCAAATATAGGCACACATTGATGACAACACCCCTCTTTTACTTAGATCCTATTTATTTAAATTCATTCCCTCCCCCCAGCTGGAGGTTGTTGCTTTTGATGATGGGGAGCCTGTGATGTCTGGAAGTGCCACGGTGAAAATCCTCGTCTTGCATCCTGGAGAAATTCCCCGCTTCACACAAGAGGAATATAGGTATTGGCTTAATCACCATCTCAGGGCAGGGTGGGAATTTAAAATATTATTTAGTGACTGCCAATTTGGGGATTAGTCAACAAACATTCATTAAATGCTTACCATGTACCAGGCACTATCCTAAGCTCTGAGGATGTAAAGACAGGGGTAGGGAAAGGCAATCCCTACGCTCAAGAGGTTCTCAATGCAATGGGGGTACCCACATGCTAGCAACTACATACAAGCAAGATACATACAAGCTAAATGGGGTGTAGTCTCAGAGGGAAGATAGTACAGTTAAAGAGGATTGGAAAAGACTTCTTGAAGAAGGTGGGACAATTACTGAAACTTTCATAAAGCCAGGAAAGCTAAGAGGCAGAGATGAGGAGGGGAAGAGTTTTAGGCATAGGGCATATCTATTAAAAATGGCCAAAGTTAGGAAATAGAGTGTCATGCTTCAGGAACAGCAGGAAGCCAATGTCACTGGTTTGTAGAGTTATAGTATGATGTGTGTGTGTGTGTGTGTGTGTGTGTGTCCAGGACATAGTACAAACTGATAAGTTGGGTTCAGAATTTAAACTAGAGAAGGACAGGATTATTTGTGTTTGGAAAATATAAGCCTCCTTTAATGTCTCTAAATTTCTCACAGATACAGTCACCCATACCCATATAACCCTATGGCGATGAGTCATGAAAACCTACGTTCTCCAAAAAGTTAAAAACAAATGTCACTCAGAGAACAATGAAAAGCAGGATGGATGATAGGAACAGGTGAAATAGCAGATGTCCCAAAACTCTTGCTGCAGTTTCAAGCTTTCATAGCTTAACTTCAAAGAATCTGAATAAAATATGCCGTCAGGAAATATATTTACAACAACAATAAAGTAATAACAATTGCTTGCATTTCTGTAGTGCTTTTAGGTTTGCAGTGCATTTTATACATGCTAGCTAAGTTGATCCTAACAGCAACACTATGAAATAGGTCCTAATGTTAATCCACATTTTGCAGATGAGGAAACTGGGGCTGTGAATAACTAATTGCCTTGTTCTTGTAAATGTAGTAAAAAAAAATCTATTAAATAGGATTAGAACTCTGGTCTTCTTAACTCATCGTCCAGCAGTCCAGCCTGAATTGGGTCATATGGCAAGAAAGAGGCATACTAGAAACTGATATTGTTGTGATATTGAGAGTGAGGAAGTGCCCGACACATTCATTGTACCTCCTATGTCACATTTATTCATTTATTTATTTAATTAATTATTTAGCGAGACAGTTGGGGTTAAGTGACTTGCCTGGGGTCACACAGCTAGTGTCAAATTTCTTGTCTGACTGGATTTGAACTCAGCTCCTCCTGACTCCAGAGCCAGTGCTCTATCCACTGTGTCATCTAGCTCCCTCCCCATGTCAAATTTAGAATAATGCATGGACCAGAATCACACAGGAGGAAAGAGGCAGGAGGGGGTGATGATTTGCCTTGCTGCCAGGACTGAGATCCCCAAGCCACAGAAGAATGTGGTACCAAACTGACAACCTGAATACATATTTTTCTTCCTACTGAATCACCTCATTCAGTGAAACTTGAATGAACTAGGTATTGTAATATATGAGTGTGTAGAGAAATATATATAAAAGTAGGTATATACACATATATACACATATATTTATATGTGAACATGTATACAAAACATAATTAAGAAGGTATTTTATTATGATGTTTCACTTCAATGCAAAATATAGACAGGTAGTTATCATTGTTTAGAGTGTTAAAATTGTAGTAAGGAAGATCTGTTTGTGACTCCTACCCAGGTACTTATGTGCTATGTTACACTAGGGAGTTCACTTAACCTCTCTCTGCCCAAATTTTCTTGATCTATAAAATGAGGGAAAAAATAGCACTAATATCCCAGGATTGTTGTGAAAGGGAAAAAAATAATGAGGTCATGTATGTCAAGTACTTTGGAAATTTTAAAGCACTTTCATTTGCTAGTTATTGTTATGGATTAAGTAACACAACACTACCTGGGAGTAAAAACTGCAACTTTATATAAGCATCTCATCATTTCCAAATTCAATAAATCATTCTAAATTGTATATAAAATAATAATCTAAAAGTAAATTTTCTTTGGAGGTGATAAAATATTAAAAGCACTTCATAATCATTTTGAAAGATATTCCAAAGGAGGAGAGCTTTCAGAAGAATAACACAGTGCACCAGACAGGATTGCTATCTCAGAAAAGGTGACCAAGAAATCCCGGGATCTTACTACTCCTATTTTCTTATGTCTAGACAATCATTATGAGGATGGCCTATGCAGACATCCAGTGAATCCTTGAGGAAAATCTGGAAAAGGAATGAGCAGGAGTTTTCTTCAATTTTCTTTACCAGACAGTTTCTTTATCACACAATTGACTGAAAAGTATACAGAATATAAAATGGCACTGTAGCAACCATATACTGAAGGCCAAAAAAAAAGAAAACACTTGACTCAGTAGAGCAAAATGCAACCTTAAATACTCTATTCCATCTGACCAGCCTTTATACCAATGCTAATACCACAGAATATTCCATGATACATGAAAACATGTACATAATTTGATTCAAGTAACTGATTATCTATTGAGGTTCTATGTGAAGTGAGGCATGAGACAGGAAGGAAGATGTTCTCCAAAGCTTTTTGCCAATGTTATAAAGTATTTCTGGCACAAAGGTGAAAAGTGCAAGTCCCTCTTTCAAGGGTAAGAGTCCCGAGTTATCTCTGTTTGCAAGTGACACTATAATGACTACATCAAGCCATTGGATTCTAGAGGGCATTTTTGATGAAGTCCAAGGTCATTCAAATGAGATTGATCTTGCCATTCAACTAAGACAAGCACAGGTGACACAGAACACACATAATTCATATCCTTATGTTCACATATATTATCTCCCCCGTTAGAATGCAAGTTCCTCTAAGAAAGTATTGTTTCACATTTGCCTTTGTTTCCCCAGTGCTGGGCTCTATTCCTGTAATGTAGTAAATGCCTAGTAAATGCTTGACAGTTGATTGATTGCTTGATGGCATGGAGTTGAATTGACAGTTAATTCAGTTAAGATGCTGTTGGCACACATGTATGACATTACGGATGAGAACATGTCAAAACCAAGAGACCTCATGTAATATGATAGAAACAACAAAGAAATTCTTTAGTGCAGACATCCATACTACTGACCCCCAACTCATTCTCACTGAAGGTGAGAGGTACTTGTGCTTTTCTTAAAATTTTGCTTTAATCCTTTCCCTATCAATTATCTAATAAGAAAATGTTTGAATATTTAAAAAAATAATTTCAAAAAGGCTTGGTAAAATCTCTCTAAGTTGGACTAATGGAGGGGAGACATGGTATGAGAGTACAGATTCTGGTCCAAAAGGTTCTACAGAAGCCAGTGAGTCTAGCCCCCTTTTTTTACAAATGTGAGAAAAATCTATTATTCAATCATCTTCTGCCCCATTAGTGTGGAAGGCAATGGAAGAGAAAATCCCAGAGCCCCCCCAGAAGTAGATTTCACTGACCTTCTAGACCACCTGTAGGAGTACTTTTTTGTGAAAAAAAAAGAAACAAACTAACAAAAAGTCTCTGAAGCCTTACATTCTCTACCATACACATGTGGCACACTTATGGACGAAGAAGAGTTGATCCTTGAATGTGTCAAAGTGTGTAAGAGGCCAAGAAGAAGGTATAATAGTCAGAATTTGATAGTTTCTCAGCACACTATTATTCCTCCACTGTCTGAGGCTTTTTGATAGCTTGCTTCTTCCATCCAAAAGAGCTTTGTATTAATTGTGTGTGTACTCATACACACACACAAATATACATGTGAATACATATATTTATATGCACATACATACACACATGTGTATATATGTATATGGATGTGTATGTGTGTATATGTATACAAGTTGTCTACCCTGAAAGAGTATAAGTTCCTTCGGGACAGGGACTATTTTCATAGCTCTCTTTGTATCCCTGGTGCCTGCCATGGAGCAGACATTTAATACGTGTTTGTTGATTGATTAAATGGTCATTCACCCACCAACAAACATTTATTGTTCATCAATTGTTTGGAATACTTTCCTAGGCAGTGAGAAAGTATGCTGTGTTAGGTTTTGACGAGACCTGCTCTCTCTTCTATTAGAGATTTTGGTCTACTGGGAGATAGAACGTACTTACAAATAACTGGAACGTGCAAGGCTATGTTATAACTGGACAGAGATATTTAAGCAAAATGGTATGTAAGTACTGAATGGGTGAGGGAGGAGAGGCCATTACTGACTTCGGGGAACAGGTGAGCATAAGACAAAGGAATGGCATTTGAGTTGGGTTATACAATCTAGGAACGTTTCAGGGAAAAAAGGCAAGGACACAATTGAGTCATAGTCGACATCATTAACAAAGGTACAAGATTTAGAGAATGCTGCTCTCTAGTGGGTTTGGGGTGGTAGGCTTATAATAGACCCTTTTGATTGGAGTAGAGTAAGAAAAGATGGGGAGGAGACAGAGCTCAGAGTGTGTTTAAGGGAATATTGAGAGTCTCTTGTTTAATCCTTGTGCATAAGCCTTCTAAGTTGGAAACTCCCTAAACCATAGCAGATGTAATCCATTTAGGATTTAGTCGTATCACCTAGCAAGCTATCTGAAGATTATAGGAATTAAATGATTTACCTTGAAATTATTTATGTGAAGCACTTTGCAAACCTTAAACACAAACATGAATGTTCATTATTATTACTAGTAAATGAGAAAGGATAGATTTGAACCTAGGTCTTCCTGAAGTCAATGAGTCAATTAGCATTTATTAATGATGACTATGCAATAATCACCTTGCTAAACACTAAGGATACAAAAAAAAAAAAGACAATTCATGCCTTTGAGGAACTTATATTTTGTAGAGCAATACAACCCATAAAAAAAGAGCTGAAAAGGTAAGAGGGAGAGGGAAGAAGAACATGGTGGTGAAGTGCCAGGTGCCCCAAGAAGAGTG